ATTTGCGCAAGTTTTCTCGCAAATGATACACGTGGGCGTCGATCTAGATATTTCTCAAGTGATAAATGTTCTGGAAGCAAGCGTAACAGAGTTGAATAGAAACAAGGTCAAAATCCAGAATCCGGATTCTAAGGATGACATCGATCAATGTGTTGTAAGTTCAATAAAAGAGACTTTGATTCATGGACTACATTTTACACTATAATCGTATGCATTAGTGATGTCTAGTATGTCTGCACTCGACAATATATTTTCCTGCGATATTTAAGGTTTTTTTCGCTTGCATAGCTAATGCTATAGTTCTGCTTATGTTAGCAAAAAACAATAATAGGTAAATTACATGAAGTATTTTTATGAATATGTCGACATAATAGACTAGATTAGTGCATGCGATTATATCATATTACTGTGACAAACAAAAACATATCTCTATATATTTAGAAATAATGTCTTCATAGGAAGAGATGGAATCGAATATTACAACAACTCTATACATTTTAACGATTCTGACAAAACTGATGACTCTTAATGGAAACAGTGATGAATCAGATTTGACACAGGCACATCATCTAGTACACAAATTATGTGCGTTAAAAGTATGTTTGAAAGATGGGCAGACTTTACTACATCTTGCTGTGAATGCTGAAACTCCTGTCGACGATTTTCATACTAATGATGTCTGCAAGTATGTCATATTAAATACCATATTAAAATAGGATTAACAATCAAGATTAGTATTGAACAAATTATTTACTCGGTTTCCAGATTTCCATGTGCAGCTACAGCACGATTATTGATTCGTTGCGGTGCTGACATAAATGCGATGGATAACGAAAGAAATACGCCGCTTCACATTATTGTTGGTTACAGTAAAGCAATTAGGTATGCTTAAAATTAATATTACCCAACTTTATACCAATACAGATTTGATCATTTTAAAAATTGTATTTTTTTCAGCGATTTTGCGACCTTACATTCAATTATAATAGATCTGATTGAAGCTGGAGCACATATGGATACTGTAAATAATAGAGGTCATACCCCGTACGATGCGGTTACTACGGGTAAATTTGCAAATTTTATTACTGATTTGCGTATTTCGTTATCATGTGATTATTTGGCCAAAATTCAATTTAATTTCTATTTCAGGTGTAGCTAAAATAATATTACGTACTCGGACCAAATTGTCCTTAACGTGTATGGCAGCCAAAGCAATTAAGACTTATGATCTACCGTATCGTGGTAACGTTCCACGTTCACTTGAAAGCTTTATAGAACTTCATGGACCTGGACTTAATCAGAGTTGACAAGTCTTTAATATTGTCACAAAAAAATCGAAATTTTCTTATACAAAGCATATAATACTTAATATTTTTATACAAAAAATACGCTAAATATTCGAATAATTAAAAGTTTTATCATACACATAATTTAATCTATATGGAATCAGGATTTTCAATCTCGTGAAAAACACCGATGTGTGACTTAAAAAAAATTGTATAAAAATTATCACGTGAAAGATGTTTTACGATATATATAAGATTGATACAATTCTTATTCAATGATACACTCTGAGATATTGTGTCTTTTTATATTAAACGTACTTTTTAGATGATAAATAGTATTGCTACATAAGCCGTGTTCCGATATACATTGCTGGTTCTGAAAATCTATATAGTTCACATTATGCATACTGTAGATTTTCAATACTGACAGTGTATATCGGAACACAGCTATAGTCGCTGCGTTATAAAGTATTTTAAATAATTAGCCACTGTGCATTCAATTTTTGCTGTCGTTTTCACCAATTTTAACTGTAATTACTGTGATAAATAAAATCAAATTAAATATACTTTTCAAATTATACAAATTGTGTGAGTTAGATACTTTGTGCACTTATTATTCGATTATGTGCTGTTATTTGTTAAAGATGTCTGCTGTAATATGATCTGGAAAAGCATAAAATATATATTTTCGTTATTGCTGTATTAAATTTATTTAATATTTACACACGCACTCTCTGTATACAATCGTGTGAAACTAGGAAGATAATAGTAAAATATATAAGAATATACATATCGCACGACACTTTACAATATATTATTTACAATGTTTACACAGACTCGTTTATCTTATCTATTTTACACATTTTACAATGGCATTCGCTTATCAATAACACTTCTGTACAAATATACACGTGTGTTCAAAATCTTTTGGCAAAAAGAAAAGAAAAAAAAATAAATAGAGTAATCCTTAGGCAGGTACAATCTATTCGCGGCGGCAGGATTTACATAAGTATGCATTCACTCGTCTAAAGTTCACTGTCTAAAGAGACGGAATGCATACTCTTCGTTGCTCCGTGTTAGTGCGTAACCGGACATGCCGATTTGCGCATCTAATTTGCTGCCCTGTCCCTTTAGTCTTTTTAAAACACTATGACAACATTGCGGAAACGTTAATGCGATCCAATGACCACGATGAGGTACCCATTCATGTACATTTCCAGTACAAAAACGGTCAACGTTGCCTCCGTTGATAATTCATCGCGTGTAGAAGAGACATTTCTACATCGCTGAAAATATCATTAGTCAATTGCGTATTTCCGACACGTGATTTCATTGCTCACTTGCTGAAGTGTTACAATGTTTCTCGCAGTGTGATATGTTATAGTTAGTGATGTGCAATATTTGCCGACGTTAATCACTTCATACTTGTATCGCGTTTATTTTCACACACACCGTTCATCTCATTTTCGAATATCGAATTGACATCTAACGCATTATATGAGTTTGTGATTGCGCAAGTACATAAAAAGTTACATATCTCGCTTATACATATTTTTATCACTCGATATAATTTGCCTTTAGAGATATGTTAAATTTAATTAATTGTATTATCTCGCTCTTTAAAAACTAATGTATCATGAAAGCTTGATAGATAAAATCGAGCGCGTTTAAAGTAAATAAAATTCCAATTTATTTCAAAAGAAAACAAATATTTAAAGAGCAGTCATTTTAATCGATGAAATGTTTTTATTCGAAGTCTACATTGCATCGTAACGTATTTTTCTTCACGTACTTATTGAGACAATGCATGTATCAATATGTATGTATATTATTGTTAAATAATAATATATGAAGTGTATTTCGCAGATCCTATTGAATTAAACATTACAATGGCAGCTCTTTCTTTACGCGAATATAATATATAATATACATCTTCTCATAATTTATAATAACGTTTTATTCCCTGATATGAATATACTAATACAATCGAATAAAAATTAAATATGCGCGGTTAGATTAATTAGATTTATAATTAGTATTCTACTGAAAGATTCAGTAGAATTCGTTTCAAAGAACAATTTCACAAACAAAAAATACAAAACCACTGATAAAGAATGTAAATGAAGAATGCGACAGTCATACGCGAAGACATTCGTGCACGCTTGTATCCTCCGCATTACGAAGATCCGAACGATATTTGGTGGATGTTAATTCGCAAAATTGTACTTTTCGGCCATCCCTTTCTTAAATAGAAGTTATTCTTATCATCATTTTCAATTGGGCCTGCTAAACGAGTAGCTATTCTTATCGTCACGTTCTCAATAAACTCTGGCAATAACCCGATAACTATCACAATTGTCACTTGTTTCTGTTACAATTCGCAGTTGAATTTAATGATGATTAGAAGCTAACGGTCAACTATTCTTGATTAATTTGTATTTTTTAACAGACAGACAATCAGATCAATCCATATTATGCCAAACGGATCCACTAATCACAATAGAAGCTCTCCGTTTTGAGTAACGTGTTTTAAACAATTTAAAAACATGCTTAATTGATGTTTTTGATATATTTCTTTTATACAATTTAAAGCATATTTGAAGCATTAAAAATATATTTAAGAAAAAACATAATATGTTTTATTAAAAAAAAAAGTCTTTACCCTGATTTTGAGACAACTGCCTTCTTGTAAATTGAATTTTTTTTTATCTTTCACTGCATACACCATGTAACCACGTGGTCAGATACCATTAGAGCGAAAGTGAGGCTCGACAAGTTATTTCAGAATGATGGGATAATTCAGTTCCGGCGATCTCAAAAGAATGGAGAGATTCTATTTAAGAAAAAAATTCTACTTGAGGAAAAAAGAAGTTAACATCAATCGTCTCATTTCCGATAGAGGTCAAAGGCTATAAGATCTATTTAAAACTGATCTATATCGAGATCTAATGAATGAATCTTTTAATCAATGAATTATCTACAATTTATTTCCCTTCATTTCAAATCTAATTTCTTCTGAATTAGAATTTTTCTCTCATGATACTTCCCGTTAATATTCACATTTTCCACATATATAATAATCGCATGAGAAAACGAGTGAAAATTTGCACATATTAAAAATGAATAAATAGTAGACATTATAAAATCTTAGAAAAAAGAAAGATAGTTTCGATTTTGTAATCTTAAGATTTAAAGAGCGACCTTTTTATATTCGATTTAAAAGTAATCTTCAATTTACAATTTTATATAAATAATGATTCTACAAAAAACTTTCTTCGATGAATGCTTTTAATGTCAATCTCGTTACTGAATAGCAATATAATATCATTCGCGTTTATCTCTATTTTATTATCGTTTATCATGTCTAGCAACAGATTAAATTTATCATACACTATTCTTTTTGATGATAAATTCTGTCCTTTCTTCCTTTAAGAATATACAATTTATAATAATTTTACTTGTTTCATTCTAAGACTGTTTTCTCTTTATACAGAAAATACAGTCAACATCAATTTCGTTTGATCCTTTTCGACATTCAATGAATGGTAAAGACAAAATACTTGTATCGACTGTGTCTCCTAAAAAAAAGTCAAAAATCATCTTTTTTATCCAGTAAAAATGGTAGCGAGCACACACAAAACTGCGAATCGGTCTATGGCAGATTAAATAATCCTTATCTTTTTCATTTCTTCATCTTTTCGCATTATTTCATTATTTCGACATCAAATGGCCAGTATTCATTGTCGATTGTTATATTTAAGATCGTCTAAATACAGTCTCAAGGTGTTATAAATCAATTACAGAAACATTAGCAAAAACATTACTAAGACGATCTTGAAATAAGAATTATGACTACTGACCAATATGTCTCGCGTGCAAGCAAATGAGACCGTATGATGTAGTCAAGAGCCTCAACGTCAGTCCATGATCCAGGACCGCCATGTCCTAAGGTGCGATCCAAGTCTTTATAAATGCTTTGAAGAAAGAATTTTACAAATTGACTAATCAAAGATTAGTTGCTTCAAAATATTTATAACATCGTTGACCGTACCCCTAATCTCAGACAACATGCATGTCCAAAATCGGGACATAAGACGTCTCATGGAGAGAGTTGAAGTGGCTTTACGCTCTGGGCGGTCGACTCGCGTGATCTGTGGATCCAAATTCGATTCCACCTGTACACTGTGTGGTTTTCCTACATTTAAGAAGAACATCGCTCCATCTAATGATTAAGAACTAATACGTATCTTCACTCAAGAAGCAATATCGCTTCAATATGTGTATAAATGATATTCTTGTTAAGTCAGGGCTGATTAAGATATAAAAAGGCATAAGGCCTGGCGTTAGACAAACGTCGATTTGAAAGGTATTAACTGTCGACATCGTATGATTTCTGTTCCCCAAAGAAGTCAAATACACAAATTTATCGCATAATACTACGACCTGTGCGATAAATTCATCTAATTGGGTCGGAAATCCGTACAAAATAAAAAAAATAGACGTCTTATGTTCCGATTTCAGACATGGCGCTGTGTGAGATAATACTTCAACTTATCTTGCTCGACCAATGATTACGTTGATCGTATAGAATAAAAATAGTGCTGTCTTAACGGCAACCGCATCCAAGGACCGCCATGTCCTGATAGTTTTTCAGCACTACTTTATTCTCCTCATCTAGATAAAGCATCGATATCGAGCTGAGCGCGGTTGGCACGCAACACGCCTTAGGTACCATTGTCGGCTTTGTTGAGTAAACGAGGGTCTGCACGATCGCGTGATTCGTCGAGTTCAGATGGTCCGCCAGAGGAAACGGGCAATCACCGTGGCAGTAGAAGGCGTCGTATCCGGGCGGCGCGACGATCCAATCGTTCCAGCCGACGTCCGCGAAGTCGACGTAGAGCGGATGCCGCCGGCAATTCTCGCGGCCGTCCTTCCGCCGATTCTTCCGTAGGGTGGCTCGCCTGGCCCGTCGGTCCAGTATCTGATTCGCGGATGCCATCTCATAACGGCCGTCGTCCATGTACGTATAGAGCATCGGCCGACTCACCACCCACGCGTCCTTGTGCTCATCGACGGCCCGTCTCAGTCGCACGTGTTCTCGTGTACGGGCTAGCGCACCAGTCACGTGCACCAGCAGCCCGTGGTTATCCTGATGATTCTCTATCCATCTCACCACGGCTGGATGTACATCCAGATTAATCGTGGCGTTCTTCGTCGCATCGATCACCTTGCTGTCTATCAGCCGCAATAGCGGCTTGCTATGACCCTTCACGCCGGGCCGTATTATGTCGTACACCAGTATCCGGCCACGTTTATGTTCCGCGCTTACATTTTCGACATCCGCCACCGCAACACGCGTTAAACTCAACTCCGCTGCCTGCAACATCTCGCCGCTAGGTATCCTGCTTAGGTTGAAGGATAATCGGAAACGGTTTGGAGATTGGAACTTGTGGTCCAGATCGCTCTCTGAAAACAAACAGTAGAAATATCGTTAAAGATATCGCGTTAAAAAATTCGTGCAAGAATCTAAGATTTTGAAATGTAAATGAAGAATTACTTTAGACTCAGTAAATATAATATAATGTATAATATAATGTAATATAATGTTGTATTCCAATTGACATGACAACTAAAAGTTGTTACTTAATATCAATGTTATAATTTCCCAATAATATAATTGTTATGCAATACCGTGAGTTATATATTTCATTTGGAGAGTTAAATCAAAAAGATTTTTTTTTTTTTCAAAAACCAACATAGTATAAAAGTTTTATATATACATATAAAATACGAAAAGAGAAATGTAATTAATAATGAATTTTTCATTCCGAAGAAATTTAAACTTTTAGAAAAATAAAACAAAGTTGAGTTTCAGTTTATCAAATAAACAGCAATTGATGAATTAAAAATACAACGTAACAAAATCATCATTCCAAAGTAGAATCCATATCTTTTAGACTTTTCGCTTTTCATGAAGGCATGTTATCTCATAGGTCGTGAGTGAATTAAAAATAAATCACGGATTGTGTGGGAAGACTACTTAGAAATTTAAAAGAAATAATTCTTAATGTTGTATCGGCGAATTTATTGGATGTGTTTATTATCTTACGACATTTATATTATTAAGGAATGCCGCCGGAATAATTTTCCGTTCGTGTGACCCACGTAAATATTTTACGACGTACGAGGCGTGCACACGTAATTTAAGTTATGCTTCTACGAAAATAGCTAATAACGTTTAACGTTATGACGCAGTTGTTCCTTGGAAACAACTTAAAAACAGTGGATGTAGCAGGCAATCGTATAGACGCAGTTGTAATACGTATGTAAATTTCGTAAGCGTCGCTGAATCCTAACACATACATATGCCTACACACACACACACACATACACACGCGCGCGCGCGCGCACCTACATGTTACATACGCAGAATCTAGCAATTTCTGTGGAAGCAAAGCAATAAGAATATCAAAGAGCTTCTTGTTAGAGTTTTATATATGATCCGCTCCAAATTTTTATTACCTTTTTTATTACTTTATTTTTATTATCTTCAAATAATGCTAGAAAAAAAATAGTAATAAAGAACAGATTACATAAATTTACGAAAACATTGTCATATTTTCTAACAAAGTATATTAAATTATAATATTATAGAACATAAAATATTATTACAATTTCATCCCTGGTTTTATAATAAATAGATGAGTATATAATTATGTATGTATGTAAATTACGTTTTTTCTTAGATGTTTTTTTAAATTACATATTTTTTTATTATCTAAAAATTTAAAATATTGTTCTAAAGCTAGTCTATATCAACAATAATAAAAAATCTTCAATTTTTAATATAAAATAATAAAATTTTTTTATGTTGTTGTGTATGTTGTATAAGACTGATATTGTATAAGATGATAGTTTTTTCATCACAATATGCTTAGAAGGCATGCATACGTAATCTTTAAAGTATTAGGACAATTTGTAAACAAAATATAATATGAGGGTTTCTTTGTGCATACGTATATATATGACGCGCTTGAAATGTCATTGGGTTTTACTTGCAAATTTTCATAATAAACGTGATAAAGTAAACAGAATTTCGAACATAATTCATTAAACCGTCGATGATTGCAGAATAATTGAAAGTATCGATACCTAATGTGTATATATATATATATATATATATATATATATATATATATATTAAA